CGGGCCGGGCCGACGGGCGGCGGACTATGAGGCGCCCACCATGGTGCGATGCGACCGCGGGCTGCAGATGCTGCTGACCACGGCGGGAGCCTTCGCCGCCTTCTCGCTCATGGCCATCGCCATCGGAACCGACTACTGGCTCTACTCCAGCGCGCACATCTGCAACGGCACCAACCTGACCATGGACGACGGGCCCCCGCCCCGCCGCGCCCGCGGCGACCTCACCCACTCGGGGCTGTGGCGGGTATGCTGCATCGAAGGTACGGCCGGCCCCGGTAACCCCCCCCAACACACACACCACACACCGCACACCGCACACCGCCCCGGGCGCCGGCCGGGCAGGGGGTGGGCGCGGCACTGACTCCGCGCGAGACACAAAGGAGCCGGAGCGAGCGGGCGGGTCCCCTCGCGGCCAGCTGTGTATCAGTTCGGGGTCCCTCCCGGTTGGGGACCCCCCCAACACACCGATCCCACAAACTCCACTAGCACACGCACACCCCCTCGCAACACAGACACAATGAAACACCCCGAAACTCACGCGCGCGCGCCCTGCTGGACCCCGGAGCGATCCCGAGGGGCCACGCCGGCGCCCCCGGGGGAGGTGGAAGCCAGCGAGGGGGCGGGAGAAGGCTGGGGTTGGGGGGAGCGATCGAGAGAGGAGGGGGAGGGGTTGCTTGGCAACCGGTGTCAGTGCGATTGCTATGGGAACTGGCCATCCTGGGGCGGGGCCGGCCGGGGGCGGGGAGCGCCGGGACCGCTCAGCTCTAGCTCTAGGCCCCAACCGAGGGGTGGGGGTGGGGGTGGGAGCTGGGATCCTAGCGGGTCTGGGGGTGTCGGGTCGCCTGAGCCTGACGCCGCCAAGACCCTGCTTCGTCCCCTAGTCTTCCACCGGGCTACTTGTCCGCTTTTCCCCGCTTGGTGTGGAGGGGAGGGGAGCGACACCCAGTCTCCCTCCGACTGGGGCAGCGATCCCTCCGTGGTGGCCCCTGGGCAAGGAGGCTGCGGGAGACGTCGGCAGGGAGCTAGGTGTGTGCGGGGACTACCCGCGGGACCAGGAACAACCTGGGAGGGGTGTGACCGCCGGGTCAGGTCAGGAGGGGCGGGGCGCCGCGACCCCCAGATGCGCTAAGGGGCCGAGTAGTAGGTGGTGTCCGGTTGGAATGCCTCTAGGGGCTGGAATTGGGTGCTCCGGGACTGTGGGGACCGCTCCCTCCGGGGTAGGTCCCCGGACGCCCTCAGTAGCGAAATGCTCCCGACTTCAGCGCCTCCCGGGTGCCTGCCCGCCCGGCTGCGGGACTTGAACTAACAGGTGGTTGTGGAGGGGCCGTCTGGTCCCAGCCAGATTGTGGACGGGTCTGCCGCTTGGTCTTGGCTTTCAAACTGGAGACGGGTTAGAGGACGTTGGCAGAGCGTTCCTTTCCAAAATTCTTGGACACAGTTTCTTCTTTGTTTTTCTGTAACCTTTTCCCGTGTGTTAACTCCGCCCATCAGTTAGTTGATCGGGAAGTTCTCCCACACACCTGGCCTTCCTTACCGCAGTTACAGCCCCTGCAAATAGTTCAGCGTGGTTGGATCTTGGTGGAGGTTGGCAGGGAGCTCTTAAAAAGATAGACCTTTTCTGGCCTCATTTGGAATCATCTAAAAAAGAGGCTTTGTAAAGCTGGGTGGGCTTGGTGCCATCCAACTTGCCCCCTTTCTCTCCCCCTAGACTATGCCTGTTCTCACCTGGAATCCTGCCCACCTTTGCCCTCCACATCCTCTCCCAAACTAGGTTACTTTGCCCTTTGCAGTTTGGAGCTTAATGCCTGGGCTAAGTGGAGTCTACTAGGAGCAGGAATGTGCAATCAATAGTTTGGGAAACAGCTGCACAAAGGATTGGTGGGCCCACAGTCACACCCTCCTCTTTTCTTTTGAAAAACATCATTTTTGTTGTACAATTGCTCAGATCACGAACACCTACTCCTCTCATCTGGAGAATGTACCCACGTCACTACCTGCCATGGCACTTGAGTTAGACACAGAGCAGGGGCTGCAGTGTCCCCCCGCCCAGGCTCCCTGGGACTCTGTCCATGTGGCACAGTAAGTCATACCACTGTCAACACCCAAACACGCACGTAGAACCCAGGCCTTCCAGTTTTCCAGAGGAAATTGGAACTAAGTCCTCCATGCCCGCAAGCCTGGCCTCTACAGAGTGGCTCTAAATTCTCCTTTATTAATTCCTCACCCTAATTAGGATTGATGTGCTCATCAAGAGAGCCCCAAGCTGATCTGGGCAGCTGGCTCTGCTGGCAGAAGGAGGGTGGAGAATTGCCATCTGGGGGACTTCACCAATGCCGCTGTCATCCCCCAGAACTCAAGGGTTTGAGGGCCAAGCCAGGCCACCTCCCAGCACTGGACCATCTTGGACCAACCCACGGCTGGGAGAACTGGTTCAGGATTCTTTGTCGTGGCTTAAATCATTGTGACCATCCCTCAACCTGGGTGGAAACTGCCAGCTTATCTCATAAAAGCGCATCGCAGAGTCCGACAGCCATCTGACACCTACGATGCCACCACCTGCCAGCCTGTGTCCGTGCTGAGACTCAGACAGCACATTAACCCCAGGCTTCTACCTGAAGGCATGGAGAGGCCTGGTCACCTCAATGTTGGCTTTTGTGTGTACAATGCATTATTTCCACCTGTTCTCTAGCAAAGTACCCCAATGCGGGGGGAGGGGGGGGGAGAGGGAGAGAGAGAGAGAGAGAGAGAGAGAGAGAGAGAGAGAGAGAGAGAGAGAGAGAGAGAGAGAGAGAGAGAGAGAGAGAAAGGGAGGAAAGAGATCAAACCTCTGAGCGGAAACTGAAGAAATACTGCAGCAGGCAGCTAACAAAGCACCAGTTGTGATGGCGGGTTTGCTGGCAACTCACAAACACCGGATTCAGTTTCCTGGTTGTTTCCCATAAATGATGTTGCCAGGCCAGGAGAGCCCAGCCCTCTGTGTACGTAGAGCATCCATGCAGTCTGGCAGGGCTGCATGCAGGACAGCTGGGTGCTACCCTGAGCCCCACCAAGGCTAACATCACCCCTGTCTCTTTCTGTCCCCCCTCCAAAGCTAGGTCTTCCCCCTTCTGCCCCTCTATTGGACCTGGGTCAGAATAATCAAGTGCCCAAAGCCTTGTTCATGTTACTGCATGGCACGCTCACAATGGCCCTGAGAGGGCGCTGTCTTCACCCCCATCTGCAGACAGGAAACAGGCTCAGAGAGGGTAAGGCACTTGCCCAGAGGGACTCAGGTAGCAGGCTGCAGAGCCAGATTTGAGCCTTTGTCTCACTACAGAGCTTTTCTGGCCATATCATCCTGCCCTTTCCCAAACAGCTTCTGGGTTGCCATTAAAAATAGAACCAGGTACTTGACTACCGTGGAGCCCAGCTCTGAGGCTGGGCTGGTAGCAGCGTGGAGGCATTTAGGCATTTAGAAGCGAGAATTACACCTGATACACAAATTGCATTACACTGTGCTCCTTCTCTTCTCTCCTCTTTTCTCTTCTCTCTCTGTTTCCGTCTTTGTCTCTGTCTGTGTTTCTCTCTCTCAATCTATCTTTCTCTCTCTCTCCCTTCTTCCACCATGTCTGGATGAGCCTGTCCAAACGAAAATCAGCCATCTGCTCCCTCCCTCCCTGAGACACCCCACACACACACACACACACACACACTCATTCTTTTCTTTGATGACACTCAGCCCAAGGCTGGGGACATAAGAAAGGAGTAATAAATCTTTGCAGACTTTTCGATCAAAGGTCTCGCCAACCAACATGTGTTCAACCTCTAATGCATTTGGGAATTAGGCGAGGTGTAGAATGTAAGCCAGCCTTATGGAGGGAGTATGTACTGTATGCTAGGGACAGAAGACCTTGTGAAAACTGCGGAGGGGAAGAGGAAACTCTGGGCCCAGACGACAGAGCTCATGTCATCATGTCAAAGCCCCCATGCACACTGTTAGTTCCAGAGCATTCACTGGGGCTGCTGCAGACCAGGGTCCACAAGGGACCCAGTCACTGTGCTGTCCTCAGGAGAGCTCTGGCCCCAGAATAAACAATCTTGGCAAAGTTCAGACTCAGCAGCGCCCTGCCCCTCACATGCCCGCATGTCCCCCGCAGATGAAGCTGCCCCCAGCACACCTGCAAGCTCTGTTCAGAACTTAAACTTGAGACCAGGCGTGGTCCCTGTGCCTGCTTTGTGCCAGCTCTGTCCTGGACACTAGGGGGGGCGGGAAGGTATGGAGACAGCCTGGACCCTGAGAGGGAGAGGATCCTTTGCCCCAGTCCTGCTCACCTCCCTCACCTGGACAGCATCTCTCACACTAGGGTACCAAGACTTTATTCACACCATGGCACGCAGAGAAAAACAAACTATTATTCCTGCTCCCTGGGGCCAGGGGCGAGAGAGAACAGTCATTAATGACTACCCAGGGCTCCAGCCCCCAGGCCCTGCCTTGTTGCTCAGAGTTGGGGGTGGGGGCTCACTCTTCTAGCACCTGGAACCCTTTCATGGCAGATCAGCTGGGAAGCTCTGCCTTAAACCACACTCCGTACATCAGACCATTGGGGAGCTTTTGATCCAAATAACATCCTTTCCCCACCTGCTCCAGGCCAGGCACTGGGCTGAGAACCTTTCCTGTCTGTGTCTGCTTTCATTTTCTCTTGCAATAACCCACAGGTAGCCTGTCCAATCAGGCCCTGGTGGGTGACAGCAGCCAGAGCAGGCCTCCTTCCCACAGCACCAGCAAGTCAGCTCCCCCGCAGGCCCTCCTTGGCCCGCTAGTGTTAATAATAATAACAACCATCACTTATTGAAGACCTTCATGCAGGGCTTAACGTTAGTTTGCGTAATTGCCAGCAACACTTCAAGGTAAATATTAATTCTCTGCCTTTTATAAGTGTAGGAAATCAGGCTTAGCATGGCCATAGCTCCTGAGTATCAGGACGCCTTCTGCTGTCCGGATCTTGGCTGAGAGTGCCACCAGTCGGGGGCTGTCCTTTATTTGAGCCACACAGATTTGGGAAGGGGCAGTTAAGAGTATTGTCTTAGTCAGCTTGGGCTGCCATAACAAAATACCATAGACTCGGTGGCTTAAACAACAGACCTTTATCTCTCACAATTCTGGAGGCTGGAAGTCCAAGATCAAGGTACTGGCCAGCTCAGTTCCTGGGGAGAGCCTGCTTCCTGGCATGCAAACTGCCACCTTCTCTCTGTGTGCTCATGTGGCAGAGAGCTAGCTCTC